CTCTCAAATAAATAAAATCTTTTTTTTAAAAATGAAAGTCAAGGGGCGCCTGGGTGGCTCAGTTGGTTAAGCGACTGCCTTCGGCTCGGGTCATGATCCCGGAGTCCTGGGATCGAGCCCCGCATCGGGCTCCCTGCTCGGCGGGAGGCCTGCTTCCCCCTCTCCCACTCCCCCTGCTTGTGTTCCTGCTCTCGCTGTGTGTGTGTCTCTCGCTCTGTCAATTAAATACATAGAATCTTAAAAAAAAAATGAAAGTCAATATTTTCAAAATCCTTTAAGGTTCTACAAGTGTTGTGGCTAAAACATACACAGGGATGCCTGGGTGGCTCAGTTGTTTCAGCGTCCCACTCCTGATTTCGGCTCAGGTCATGATCTTAGGGTCATGAAATTGAGCCCCACATCGGGCTCTGCACTGGGCTTGGAGCCATCTTAAGATTCTCTCTCTCTTCCTTTCCCTCTCCCTCTGCCCTACTCCGCACATGCAGGTGCATGCTCTCTCGAAAAAAAAAATTTTTTAAATAATAAAACACATACATACAAAATAAATGAAAAAGTTTTGAAGTTTCCTGGTGAGCTTTTGCTTCAGCCACCAATATGCAATGAAAGGAGATACTAATTTATTACCACAACTAAAAGGAGGATAATTCACATGTACAGCTTTTCTGAACAAAAATGTTGTCTGTTATGAGCCTTACTTTCACTTTTGATAATTCTTTTTTTTTTTCCACTTTTGATAATTCTTATACAGTATACTAGTAATAAAATCCCATGCAGTAGGATTTAGTTCTGACTATGGCACTCGCTACCATCTCTTCTCTTTCAGTCTCTGTAATTCTTATTTCTCTCAGGGGCAGAGTGTCATAATGGGGCTGCTAAGCAAGTCAGTTCCAGCATTTAAGTGTACATATAAGCGAGGGCAGTAGGGAATCCCTGGTGAATACAGTTTTACAAGGGAATAAAAACAAAGGTTAAAGGGTTTAGAAACTTTTCCAGGGACTTGTCAGCTAGAACAATGGCTCCTAAGCACCAGTCTATCTGAAGTTTTCATTAGTCCCATTACAAAATAAGAAAAGAGAAACAGCCTAGAATTTATGTCTTTCCTATTTTTTTTAATATTAAAATATTTTTATTCTATGAACTAATGGTGATAGTAGATGGTAGTTGCACTTTAAATGTTCTTACATGGCAGGGTGCCTGGCGGTAGAGCATGTGACTCATGATCCTTGGGGTTGTGAGTTCAAGCCCCACGTTGGGTGGAAAGCCTACTTTAAAAAAAATAAGAAGAAGAAGTAGCAATCCTTTGTTGGTCCCCAATTTTTTTTTAAATTTTCATTTGTCTGTAACATCTTTTAAAGCTACTGATGATAGAGTATGTATTTAACCTGCAGAAGTTTGGAAATGAACATGCAGAAGCATTCTTGTAAGGCTAGTTGCATTTGAAAGGTGAAATCTAAAGATCATTAAGGCCTCATCTCTTAAATTTATAACTGAGATATCTTGCCATTTAGCAAAGGAAAAGGAAATTTTTTAGGAATACTTCTCGTTGTTTTACAATATTAATACCATCTGGAAATCCTTTACATTTATTCTTCTGAATCCTAAAAAAGGTAATCTTAGATAAACATGATGTCCTTATTTCTTAACAGATGAAATTTTTTTTATTATTATGTTAATCACCATACATCACATTATTAGTTTTTGATGTAGTGTTCCATGATTCATTGTTTGCATATAACACCCAGTGCTCCATGCAGAACGTGCCCTCCTTAATACCCACCACCTGGCCAACCATCCCCCCACCCCCCTCCCCTCTAGAACCCTCAGTTTGTTTTTCAGAGTCCATCGTCTCTCATGGTTCATCTCCCCCTCTGATTTCCTCCCCCCTTCATTCTTCCCCTCCTGCTATCTTTTTTTTTTTTTTAACATATAATGTATTATTTGTTTCAGAGGTACAGATCTGTGATTCAACAGTCTTGCACAATTCACAGCACTCACCATAGCACATACCCTCCCCAATGTCTATCCCCCAGCCACACCATCCCTCCCACCCCCCACCACTCCAGCAACCCGCAGTTTGTTTCCTGAGGTTAAGAATTCCTCATATCAGTGAGGTCATATGATACATGTCTTTCTCGGATTGACTTATTTCACTCAGCATAATACCCCCCAGTTCTATCCACGTCATTGCAAATGGCAAGATTTCATTCCTTTTGATGGCTGCATAATATTCCATTGTGTGTGTGTGTGTGTGTATCTTCTTTATCCATTCATCTGTCGATGGACAGATCCATTCATCTGTCGATGGACATCTTGGCTCTTTCCACAGTTTGGCTATTGTGGACATTGCTGCTATAAACATCAGGGTGCACGTACCCCTTCAGATCCCTACATTTGTATCTTTGGGGTAAATACCTAGTAGTGCAATTGCTGGATCATATGGTAGCTCTATTTTCAACTTTTTGAGGAACCTCCATACCGTTTTCCAGAGTGGCTGCACCAGCTTGCATTCCCACCAGCAGTGTAGGAGGGTTCCCCTTTCTCTGCATCCCCGCCAACAACAGATGAAATATTTTTGATACTTCCTTCATATCACCTGTATTAATAGGTGACTTCTAAGTAACTTCTTCAAGGAAGCAAATCTCCAAAAAAGGAAAAAGTAGCCAAGATTGAGAACAATCTAATTATCTTAAGTGGGACATATTTCCTTTTTTTAAAAAAAAGAAATGATATACTGTCTGCTTTACTCTTGGCAAGAATAATATAATCTGGGAATTTATGCAAATGAAAATTTTATTTTATCAGCAATTGAATTATTTCATTCATTAAAATGTCTAGATAATTTAGAGCATGTTCTTGATCTTTATGCTTAAGAATGTGTTTGAAATGTTTTTCCCAAAGAAAATCCCAGCAGATGCATTATCACCAGACTTTTTCTCCATTGGAAGATCCTGGCTTTCTGATGAAGGAGTCTGGGTGAAGTTAAGGGAGGTATAATTGAAGTTGGGGAGGCAGTGGTGTGTTGATAAAATTTTAACAGCCAGCTGGAGAAGGAGAGCTTGTGGTATTTGCTTGTTTCCACTGTGTAAATAAATGTTCTCACCTCGGCCAATTTCAGGCTACCAGGCTGCTTAACAACCAGCTCTTAAAAATACTGCAATGGGTTCTCCTGGACCAGTACAGGATGGCTTCAGCATACCACTTGGTGGGGCAAGGTGATGGTGCCCCCACCTTTGTGGGTCAGTCCATTAGTTCCAAACAACTTTTTTCTCTTCCCTAATTCTTTGGACTTCCCTATTCTTAGGAATAATGTTTTTTTCTTAGTACTATGTCATCAAGGATGTCATTTCATTAATAATCATTGTTAATAGAGCTGGAATCCGTAGTTCATTTCAGAAAGTCACCAATTGAAAGTACTAGTTAAAACTCTTCATAATTTGAAAACTGACTTACAGTCCTTACAATATTGAAATTAAGTTGCTATAAATATAAAGCTTGTACTTTGGGGGGAAAATAGTAAGTTTTATTAATCATGAAAAAAATCTGCATATTTTCAAATAGAAAACCAAAATATGTATTTTTTTATTGGTCTTGACTCTTTCAAAAGAGCCAATCTTGTACAGAAGTCCACAGACTTTTCCTTTTGTCTCCAACTTACTCTTTTCCTCCTCAGATGTAACCTGTGTTCCATTTCAGGTATTCGGTAACTTTTTTCTTCCCCCTGCTTTCCTCCCTTAAGAACCTGTCAAATCCTACTAATCACACTGGATCCTTAAACAACCCAGAGGTTAGGGGCACTGACACCTACAGAGACAAAAATCTGCATACAACTTGTGACTCCCCAGAAACTTACTTTTAATAGCCTATTATTTACCTGAAGCCTTACCAATAACATAGTCAATTAACACATATTCTGTATGGTGTATGTATTATGTAATGTATTCTTACAATAAAGTAAGCTAGAGAAAAAAGTTACTCAAAATCATAAGAGAAAACACATTTACAGTACTGTACTGTATTTCTCTAAAAAAAATCTACATGTAAGTGGACCCATGCAATTCAAAGCCATGTTGTTCAAGGGTCAAATGTAGTGATTTTTACTTCTTACTTGAAATTCATTTGTACTAAAGTGTGCATTCAACCTGGGGGTTTTTTAATCTCTAATTTGTTCACTGTGGTTCAAGAATCACTAAGCATTTAACGAGAGTGGAAGCCTGAAATCCCACCAAGCCTTTTTCTACAGCTTCACCCTAAAGATAAACGGATTTTGTCAAGTTAGGAGATTATTATAGAGTTCAGGAGGGAACTAAACACGAAAGTGGCAGGCATTTGTCTTTCCCATTGACTTTTTCCTCCTGGGAAGATCACACAAGTGTCTGGTCCCACTGAAGCTGCATTAGGTATAGTCTAAGAAGCTGCTAGTCCTGTAAGATCTTGGGATCCAACCTGCCTAGTGACATCTCTCTATTGGCTGGGATTCCTTTTCTCTGTTCCACACCCTTCTCTCCCACTACACATTCACATCAAGTCATATATACTGTTTTGGACTTCACATTAAACGTTTTTGGTGGGGGCGCCGGGGGGGGGTGGTTCCCAAAGGAACATGTGACTCTGTTCTCTTAAATGCTATCAGATAGAAAAAACCAACACATTCTTTTCAGCATTTTCAAGTATGGGAGAAAAATGAATTTCCATGTGCAAATTTTCACAAATGTCATGGTCAGGCTGTCTCACACATGATAACATGGGGGAGATGATGATGATACATACACTTCATACATTACATATGTAACAAAACTTTCACCCCTGGTAAAAACAAAATGAATTCACTAGATGAATTATTCTTTGTCTTTATAATAAATTATGTACCCTGAGCATTTAGTAAACACATAAGAGATCTTTTCTAATTTTTTTTTCCCCAAACAGATACGTGATCAAGGACCCAAAAAGAACTCAGTTATCCACTTGGTAATTATTAAGTAATCTGTTTCTTTCTGTCTCAGAGAGAAAAATCCCAGATGAAGATTTCATCATCCTAATTGATGGATTAAATGAAGCAGAATTTCACAAACCGGATTATGGGGACACAATTGTTTCATTTCTGAGTAAAATGATTGGAAAATTTCCTTCTTGGCTCAAACTAATTGTAACAGTTAGGACCAGTTTACAGGTATGTGTTTGTTTGCTTTGGGACCATATATTATTTCTTTTGGAGAGTGCTTAAACAGAAAAAGTTCTAGATCCTTGTTCCTTAGTGATGAGTTTTTTTAAACCTCTACCATGTCTTCGAGCACTAGCAAGAATAATTCCCAAAGAGTATATTTTGAGAGTGAGAGATCAGATGATCTAAGTCCAGTCTCTGTGTATGACTCTCTTAGTTCAGATTCCCATTTCCATTGCTCTGGTTTTGATAAAGTGTCCCTCAAAATAACATGAAAAGAAGGTCCATTTTTCTAGACTTTGTCCTGAGCACAGCAATGCAAATTATATCCCTAACACTCTAATTTGCTGTTTGAGTTTTGTTTTACTTTTTTTTTTTTTTATCATGTAATGCCATGTAAAACCCAGTTCTGTCTGCCATTTAGAGTCAGATTTCTCCTTCCCCGCTCTGCTTAAACTGAAACAACTTTTCTGTAATAGGACGGTGTATACCTTCCTCTAAGAAATATTGGCAGCATTAAGGCTTTAGATTAAATGTACTACAACTGGGAGATAAGATTTTTTTTTTATCTTTTTTACCGTCCATCCTCACTCACTGATCACTTAATGGCCTAGAAGGACTAGAAATGTGGGACTGAGCCTACAAAGACATATGGGCTAAGGATAAATGACTTCACCTAATCTCTCACAAGATTACATAAAACCTTATTCTTGTTGTAGCTGAGTTGGTATCCCCTATTCTTTACATATTCATACTTGGTTTGGAACAGTTTCTCAACCTTTTTTTGCCTAACCATTGCCTTGTTTGTTGAGCATCACAAAGTCTCACAATATTACACACCTATCCCACTATTTCGATAACAGCCCACTTGTAATAATTACTAGTGTGCAGAAAACAGTTTCTCCTTCTTTTTCCCCTCTCCCAGGGACTTAGTAGTATTCCTGCATGTTGACCAATTAGCTTTGCTGCCTTCTTTGATCAGAAACTATACTTATAATGCTGGCCACCACCTTGCAGATGTTTGTTGTTAATCTCAAAGTAATTTAAATTAAAGAATGTGGATGAATCAATGTAAATGCATCTTTACAACTAAAAATTATGTAATCTGTTACTGGTCAGTAACTGGATTGTTAAAGATGAAGGATGAAAAGAAGAAACTTCCAGGAACACAATCTCTGACTAGTTTTACTAAATGTATGCTTAGGAGATGTTATCCTCATTTGTATTTTTACATAATGCCATGTGCAGTCTCAAAAGACATTTTAAGTATGACTTGATGAGCAGATGACTTTAACTTTTCAGCTATGCCAAGGATAGGAAAAGTACTACTATACATATTAATCTACAAAGTCAGAATTTCAGTGTCCTCATAAATCAAGACCTGTATAACTTCCCAGATACTTCATTCACTTCAACCAAGAATTTTCTTATTTTCGTTCAGCTCTGACAGTGAAATAATTCACAGGTCTTTAAAAAAAAGAACCCTCATATTTGATAATTCATTATTTCCACAGACATTTCTTAAGTACTTCAAGTGTGTCAGGCACTTTCTAGGAGCTGAAGATAGAGCAGTGAACAAGACAAACTATATCCCTGCCCTCATAAAGCTTATATTCCAGTGAGGAACACAAACAAAAACTAAGTGAAAAATTAAATATATATTAAAATTTTAGGTAGTATTGGTGTTCTGAAGACAAATAAAATAGGATAAACAGATAAATGGGAATGATAGTTATTTTAGATAGGACCGTGGGAAAGCCCTCTCCCAGGAGCCTGGCAAAATAATGAGATGTGATTTACCTTTTTAAAAGATTTCTTTGGCTGCTGGCCACAAAGATAATAAAAGGTAGGGATCAAGAATAGGAGCAGGACAGGCTAAAGGCTTAGCCTAGAGTGGTCATGGTAGGGACCCTGTGAAGTGGTCATATGTGGACTACACTATGAAGGAGAATCAAAAGGATTTAATGTTGGGCTGAATGTGGGGTGATCAAGAGAGAAGATTCAAAAGCAAAACATGGGATTTTGGTGCACAGTTGGGTAAATGCCAGTATGAGGAAAAGAGAAAGACCGTAGAAGCCTATAATTTGGTGGTAGGGTTGGTGGTAATGCGGTTTATTGACATGGGAAGGTTTTGTGGCAGGGGGCAAAATTCCTTAGTTCTGATTTAGTCATGTGAAGTTTGTCTGTACAACATCCCAATGTAAATGTCGAGCAGACCAACATATACGATGAGAGCTCAGGGGAGAGGACTAAGCCAGAAGCACAGGTTAGGCCTCAGCCAGGCAAGGTGAAAATTACATAAAACCTTGACAAGAATCATTTCAGTGAAATGATGTGGTGTTGAATCTCATTGCAACAAAGGGAGGACAGAATGGGAAGGAGGAACAAGAGATAGGAAGTAGAGAAAACTCTTCTGTGAAGTTTTGCTAGAAATGGGGACAGAGATTTAGGATAGTAGCTGGGGGGAGGGTTTGTGGTGCCATTCGTCTGTGTGATCCAGTAAAGAAGAAGAAATTGATGCAGAAGAAAGAGGATACTTGCAGCACCAAAGTCTGTGTGCAGATAAGATGGAATCCAGAGCATAAGTAACCACAAAGCTCTATCCCCTTTCCCCAGTATAATTTCCAAGCAGATCACCAAGGTACCAAGCATATTAGAAGTATTCCTTTAGGCTAAGTCATCTCCAAAAAGTCTTCACTAAAATGTAGTCATCTTATTAGGAAGGTTATGAAAGGCACATTTTTATATGGTGTTCTTTGAGTCCTCGTGCATTTCTCTTACTGAATTATACCTTGATGTTATGCCATGATTTACACTGAGATTACAACAAAAGAGTTATATGGCACTCCACTTTCTATTTATGTTAGAGGTGTAATTTGGAATATTGACCATTAAATCACTCCTAAAGTACCTTTTGTGAAGACCGATAAAAAATTATCTCAAGTCTCAATGTTAGGAAAAGTTGTGTCCCCTCTGTGCAACAAATTTGTTTTAACCTATGCATACTAATACTTGATCATATTTCCCTCTTCAGCCACTCGGAAGTTTAGAATAAATGTGTGGACCTCAGAGTGTATCACAAGAGTTAGGGGAAACTGAAGGTCTTTCTGTCTCTCTCTCTCTCTCCATCTGTTTTAGGAAATTACCAAGCTGCTGCCTTTCCATAGGATTTTTTTGGATCGACTAGAAGAGAATGAAGCCATAGACCAGGATCTGCAGGCTTACATCCTGCACCGGATACACAGCAGCTCAGAGATCCAGAATAACATTTCACTTAATGGCAAAATGGACAATACTACATTTGGCAAACTCAGTTCTCACCTCAAGACCCTCAGTCAAGGGTCCTATCTATACCTGAAACTCACATTTGACCTCATAGAGAAAGGCTATCTAGTGTTAAAGAGCTCTAGCTACAAAGTAGTTCCTGTTTCGCTCTCTGAGGTTTATTTACTCCAGTGCAATATGAAGTTCCCAACCCAGTCTTCCTTTGACCGGGTGATGCCTCTCCTGAATGTGGCAGTGGCCTCTCTGCACCCACTCACTGATGAACATATCTTCCAGGCCATCAATGCTGGTAGCATTGAAGGCACCCTAGAATGGGAGGATTTTCAGCAGAGAATGGAGAACCTCTCCATGTTCCTAATCAAGCGCAGAGACATGACTCGTATGTTTGTACATCCTTCTTTTCGAGAATGGCTTATCTGGAGAGAAGAAGGAGAGAAAACCAAATTTCTCTGTGATCCCAGGTAAGCCATAGACCTGTAATAAGCAATTCTGAGCCTATTTTGTATTGATTGCATGGAGCATGGGTATTGAAAGCAGTGAGAAATGTTCTTCATTGAACATTTCACACAAAGGAGACATCATCTCTGTTTCTTCTCAAGACAAGGCTGTAATGAGGTTAATTTATTTTCTCACAATGTTATTTCCATAAGACTCAAAATCTGCATAGATATTTAGAATACCCTCCTACCTTTCTATATAGTCCTAAATAATTTTCTTTGTGCTAGTGAACCCAGGCTATAATTAATTTAGCCATTTCATAGACTTCCTCAGTGTTCTTCCGATATGAAGAAAGAATTGATATATTGTTCATCTCTTTGACTTAAACCAGAAACATTTTAAAATTGCAGTTGCCCTTTTAAAAGTCATACCACCAGTGACTAACCCCATTAAAGCCCATCCAGTGCTAAGGTTTATGCTGGAAAAAGGAATCTTAAACCTCACAGCTGAAACAGACCTGAAGAGATCAGCTGGCCTAGCTGCTCTCCCTGTAGATGAAGAAGTTGCCATTGTCCCCATTTTACAAAGGCCTTAAGATGCTGAATCAGTGCCAGAAGTTGTCAAGTTAATAGGTAGGAGAAAGGAGGAAGGACTAGAAAAGAATGGCAGATAGGTGGTATGTACCACCTTTCCCCTGCCCTGCAATCATGCACGCCCAACACTCTTGCCTGATGAGCTTGACCCTGACTTAATCTTTCTCAGCTCAACAAGCCAGACTAGGTGTGAAACTGTTTCCCATTCTCTTGGGTAGAACCTAGATCTCTAGCATCCTAGTGGGGTGTGCTTTCTACTCCACACTGCCTTTTTTAAAAGAATTATTCCTTTAACAAAGTTGGTGTTTTCATATATCCCTGCCTTCCGGGAAACAAAGAAGACACCAACAACATAGCTGGCAAATGCAGAGCTTATTCTGGCTCAGAAAGAAGAGAGGCCAAATTTGACTGTGCCTCCGACCGTGACTCATCAGAGAGACTAAAACCTCTCTGACCACGCTAGGGTTTTATTTCTCTTCTGGCGTGTTCTTCAGCCGGCCTTATTGAACACAACTGTGCTTGTGGGCATGCTGCTCAGCCTACTCCATGCCAATTTGTTGAAAATTAGTTCCAGATTCTGATGAAGATATTAAGCCAGGCAGTAGATTCTGTGGTGTTTTCCCTGAGAGAGAAACTTTTAAAGAAACAAGCTATAGTGGAAAGAACATGGGTTTTTGAGTCATTACCTGCATATAAATTCTATTTCTTCTAGGAACTGTGACCTTTGGAGAGTTTTATGTTTCTGAGACAATTTTCTTATCTATGTAAAAGAGATAGTAATTCCTAAAGTTGTTGAGAACTAAATGAGGTCATATATAGTATAATACGTAAAATAGCACAAAGAAAGTGTTCAAGGAATGTTCTTCCCCCCCCACCCCACCCTTTGCACCCTTTTAGATATACCTTAACTAAATCCTGTGGCTAATTGGATAGGCAACAGTAGTCCTCTGCTATTAGCATTCGGGGGCCCAATATTAAAAAAAAAAAAAAAAAAAAAACAGTCTGAGTCTCTTCTATGAATTGTATGACATTCCCAAGAGTATTTTATTATAAATCCCACTAGTACTGCTACTATGCTAAATACATAGAGTTGGAAACCACATATTTAATAAAAAGAACCAATCTAGAATTGCCTCATGAACACTTTGAAATCAGTTTTCAGAGAAACTTTGCCAGTTGATCTCTCTGTCTCTTCCCGGAACATCTCAGAGAATTGAATGCTGAAGTCCAAGGCAGCCAGGCTCCCACTGAATTAACAGTGTCCTTACAACAGATAAAACCCTCAGGGGCTCCCAAAGGAGAAAATATGGCATTTTGCAGCCATATCATGACTTTACAAGCCTACCTTCTCAACATGACTTATTAACCAGAAGCGTTTTGGCAACAAGCTGATACACTGGGACAAGCAAACACTTCTAACTTCAGATGCTGTGTAGTCTGTTCCCTGGTGATTGAATAACACACAGAGCTGCTGAGGGATCATCATATATCACTTAATGGCAGAGAGAATAAAATAGTAGGACCAGGAGTTACCAAAAAAGCTTCCTTACATTTCATTTCCGTTGGAATCCAGCCTTCTATCCAGCACTATCTGGCATCAGCTTTGTTACCAAAGTATTGATCTCAGAGTTTGAGGCCCCCCTGGGTCAATGAGATGGAAATTCACTAAGAATTTAATGCTATGGGCAAAGCCCAAGCTGGCCTTTCAAAGAAACTGGCTCTAATTGCCTTCCATTTCAGGCAGGTCTGAGTAGCCCGGACTCTTTCAAAGCAGGGATTGTCTTTGTGGTCTTCAGCCTCTCCTTCCTGTACATTCCCCCTCTGCTCTTCTGTTTCTCCCCAGTTTCTCTCCAGAGCATCACACGTATTTCCGTAGACCAGAGAGACCAACCCTGTGCCTCTGAAATCACGCTGTGTAAGCCAGTGCTGACAGGCCTGTCTCAGTGTAAGGAGAACTCTCAGAGGCAGCAGAACATCTCTGTCTCTTCTAGTCCATCTTCCTCGGCTTTCAACACTCACTCATTCACCCTGAACTAGCTGACCTTATTAGGGAATTAGACTCAGACAAGAATATTCTATACTGAAGCCAAAAAGTAGTTGATCTTCATCAGAAATAGGCCACCCACGGAGGTACTTCTGCTAAGCTGAAGAGAGTCAATAATCTGAGGATGGTGCTGGAAAGAGGAAATAGAGCCAGAGGTCAGTGCTACAGCTGAGATAGAGTTTTCCTTATTTTAGATATCAGACAGCCTGTTGTCCCAGGATGTCAGAGAGCTGACATCCCAGAGAGAATGACCTAATGTTGCATAAACATATAACTGTCACAGAAAGAGATGAGTTATAGATGTCTTTTCTCAGCTTGGTAACAGGATGGGTGTGTGTGGGTGTATCAAACTGTGAGCAGAGCATCACTGAAAAATTTTTTATCACATCAGAACTTCTAAAACTTTGGATTTGCATTCTGGATGAAAATACGCCTCTTGAAGCCCTGACAAACGTTAGACCTCACCACCTTATCCTGCTTTCCATTTCCCACTATTCATCACTGTCATATCCTGTCATACTCTGAAATTAATCCATTTTATATTTTATTCCCTCGGGCACTGAGATATCAGATTAACTCACTAATCTTATAAACTAATCTCTGCTATTATGCTAATAAGAGGGAGATAGAAAACACATCTGAAGCGACTTGTGCATTTCAAGTAAGGCGTTTGCGAAAACAAGTCATCGGTCTTTGTTATCTAACCTATTGATGACTTTGATAGTTGAAATCTGAGGCTGGGAGAGTAAACAGCTGGGGGCTGCTGGCCCTTTGCAACTTAATATTTATGCGGAGTGTTAGGCTATCCCTGCATGAACCCCCACCCTTTTTTTGTTTCCTTTCTTCACTATCTTTGTCTTCATGTTATCTAGCCTCCCCTTCCATAGGAACAGATCACAGATCAACATTTATGTATATACATATATATAGGAATATATATGTAAGATCTTTATATAAAGATCAGAAGACTCAGTTGCCTTATTTTTAAGTGTTTGAATAGAACACATGAGGCTTGTGAACTTTGTTGAGTACTGAACTGCTACGACCTAATGAAATTCTGATTTGGGAGCCTGATTTGGGTTGACCTGATTTCCTCAAACTAAGAGAAGCAAACTTTATGGCAGGTGAAAAAGGGGGGGAAGGGCTACACAAATCCTGTGAGGATAGTTGAGTATTTACTTGACTCTCTGTGACTAGAGTTGATATCTTATAATACATGGTCTGTTGAGATTTGTCCTAGTTATTTTGGTCATATTAGTCCGTGAGTTACACATTGGAGACCTGATGCTCCAAAATCCATGCCACAAAGCAGACTGTCAGAGAATAAGCAGTTTTCCTAAGGCAAAAAGAAGGCATTCCCCCTAAAAGGGAAAACTACTTTGTGCAGAGGACCTGCACAAGCCTGCCTTCTTATAGAATACATGGGTCTGAAATAACCACAGAATGGTGAGTTGCAGAGTTAAGGTGATTCTGATTGTTTTTTTTTTTTTTAAATCACAAGGATTTTTTATTGTTATGTTAATCACCATACATTACATCATTAGTTTTTGATGTAGTGTTCCCTGATTCATTGTTTGCGTATAACACCCAGTGCTCCATGCAGAATGTGCCCTCTTTAATACTGTTTTAATCCAAACATGAGCCTCCAGGCAGGATGACATTTAACCTTGCCCTCGCTGAAGCACAAACTCTAGGTTACTGCTGATAGCCATTGCAGGCTCCCATAACAAACCCTTAAATTGGGAATAGGTTTTGCTTTCCAAAAGCATTAGGAAAGAATTCAGCAAAGTGATGGATCATGGGAAGGAAAAAAGGGTCTGGAACCACATCAGCCCTTAGGAGGTTTGGAAGAGTTACGTCAAGGAAAAAGGCAATGTACATCCTTTACTGGCACTTGACTATTAGTAGATGATCTTACCTGCCTGGAAATATTAATTCTCTAATCTCTGTGCTGGGTCTGCATCTGCTGCACTTCTAATTCCTTTCTATCACTGAGGGGAAATTAGTCTTCTGATGTTACAATTTGCATGTGTACTTTCCAAGGAGAGATTTCATTGATATGTCATATTAGGAGATTTGTCTAATTTGCCAATAAATTTTTTCCCTTATTATCTAATCCAATTTCTGACTCCCTATTGGCATCAAGAATAAATGTGGGACTCATATCTGAAGTATTACTCTAGTGACCTAAGGTCATGGTTTTGTGATTTATTTTAGCAGGGAGAAATTAGATGAAATCTAATGTATATCTTGGAATATGTCCAGTTTGCCAACTGCATGAATGTCTTTCAACTTTACAAATTTGTTTTCTCTCCATATAAATCATGGAGCCCACATCTATTAGTCAAATAGGCATACTGTTCCCATCTTTAAGACTCTTACACCT